GAACCCAGGACCTTCTGGTTATAAGGCAAGCTCGTTAACTACTAAGCCACTGGAACCGCTGCTAAGTGGTCGTGCTATATTGTGAATTGGCAGAAGTTAGAATTCATTGGCTGGCCACTGGATCGGATCTCAGTGGCTTAATGGTCTACGAGCTCGCCTTATAACCAGAAGTTCCTGGGTTCGAACCCCTGTGGTGGGTGCATACTGCTGAAGAATCCCAAATTAGACTGACGAAACAACTATCCAATGCTCCCTGCAGGTTTTCCAAGAGTTCTCTAACTGATGACAGCTCATGATGAAATAATATTTCTTAAAAGTGCCATCTCACTTTACGCGTAACTAATTGTTGCTTCGTGTGTAAACGGCTTGAATTTTAAGTCGTTAAACTGTAATTAGACACATGGCTGTCTTGACGGTGAATATCGTGCAGAAATCTGTATCAATCTCAGTCCTTCACCTTTCTCTTAAGAGTGATCATGTAAAATATTTTTCCACTGAACAGGTGCATAAGTTACACAGCACGATAAATCATAATTTGTCAAAAAAAGCGGTGCTTTACAACAAATTAAGTTCTAACGCTGGTAATTAACAAGTGTTGTTGACTTCTGTGAATAAAATTTAGATTCATATCTCTTTGACGTTTCTTTCTATAAGAAATTAGAATCATTTTTGTTCAATAACAGAAAAAACAAAGCAAAAATACCAATCTTCATTTAATCAAATTTATCATCAAATTCATTCCATATGGGTAACTCGTTTATAAACGTACGAATGTATAAGCCGAATGAACGCTTAACAGCGGTATCTGTTGATAATACGTTCATAACTACTCTACAACCTACCAGAAAGTAGCTGCTAAAGTAACCACATACGGAGACTTAATAACTATTGTTTAGGCAAACAGAATTCTACAGCTCTAATGGGAATGTTAATATATGTGTAAAACTTGGGCACTGTGGTAGTAAGTAATTCCATATTAGTTTTTTTATTAGATGTATCACACAGTGAAACAGTATTATTTACTGGATGACGTTTCGAACAAAATTTATTGTTCATAATCATATCAATTGTAATCACACGACTTCGAAACTTGAGTTTTATGGTTTTCTTTGTTCTCTCCTATTTGTCGTAGGGGTAGTAGGATTTTGCAGATATCTGAGACAGGTGTTGAATCATTCCTTTTACATATATTTGCAGTTGATTCGTTAAACACCAGTGTTTACCGGAAACCCACACATTCAAACAGATATTTGGACTCTCGATCATCCCATCCTATGTCAGTGAAAATAGGATTGGTAAAATGTTTAAGAGATAGAGCACAAAAGCTAAGTAGTACCAAGGAAAATTTAAAACAGGAAGTGATGCACATAAAAGAAGCCCTGAAACTTAATAATCACCCTGATAAATTAGTCAGGAAGTATGTAGGGAAATGTAAAAATAAAATAAATAGTGATGATAGTAGTGATAGTGATTATAATAATTATATTAATTACGATATGCATGTCAAACATCAGCAGGATATTGACAACACCAACAATAAGGAATATAAATCATCAGTAGTAATTCCATACAAGGAAGGAACCTCGGGAACCTTACGCAGAATTCCTAACAGGGCAGGAATAAAAGTGGCATTCAAACCCACAAACTCAATTAGAAACAGGCTTTTTCGGTTAAAGGATCCTGTGAAGCCTTTAAAATAAAACAATTTAGTTTATCTAATACCCTGCAATGATTGTCAGGTCAAACACATAGGTCAAACTAGTAGAACAGGGGCAGTCAGACTAGCTGAGCATAAAAACCTAGCAAAATCTAGATTGGTTGACCCGAATAAGATAAGAAATCTAGAGAATAGTTCAGCTATAGCACTACATGCAATTACACACAACCATACAATAGGATGGGATAAGACGACAGTTTTAGGATCTAATGTGACAGGGTGGAGGGAGAGATTGATAATGGAAGCTTTGTTCATTGAATCAACTGCAAACACGTGTAATAGGAATGATCCAACACCTGTCTCAGATATCTGCAAAATCCTACTACCCCTACGACAAATAGGAGAGAACAAGTCGTGTGATTACAATTGATATGATTATGAACAATAAATTTTGTTCGAAACGTCATCCAGTAAATAATACTGTTTCACTGTGTGATACACCTAATAAACAAACTAATATGGCATCTAATGGGAATGCTCCTAAAAAGTAAAACTGTTCAACAAAGTTTAGTATTTTCAATCACAATTAGAAAGAACCCACCAATACATATGTTCAGCAAAATAAAACACTATTTCTGAAATGACTTCGACTGGAATTTTTAGATAAGAAAGCAAAAAGTAATTTGGTGAATAGTGATTAGTAGCGGAATCCAGGATGCGCATTTCATCTTGTTTGGAACACATCAACTGAATGTGTCTGCATTCCCAGTGAGTGGCGGTGTTTCCAGATAGGGTGAAATGTGCGTCCCGGATTCCCCTGTTGGTTACCATCCACCAAATTACTTCAAATTAATCCTCAGACATCGTCGAAGCGTCCGTACTAGGAGCCATCATGTCAGCAGAGACCGAATATTTTAGTTCAATCAATCAAAAGGGAAAATCAAAACTGAATTAAAAACAAATAAAATACACAAACAACTTTATAACTTAGACTCTCTGTTCTCAGTATTATCACTGAGGACGAAAAGCCATTATATTTGTGAATGAAATGATTCCTGATTCGAATTCATCTATACGCCTTATTTGTACTTCTTACTGTTTTCATTCTGGACAAAATTACTCCCATATGATTTAATTCAATTTTAGATTTTCCTGTCGATTGATTGGACCAAAGTGCTCGGTCTCAAGTTGACATGTCGGTTCAATCGACGAAAAAATCTAAAACTGAATTAAATAATTAATATGACTCGTTGCAAAAGGGGTGGCTCTCATCGCCCAAGTTGTCTAGTGGATAATGCTTTGGCGTTTGAAACTATGGGCACTGGGTTCGAGCCTCGGTGGGAACATCATCATTCACTGAGGAATGCAGGTACATCCAGATAGCTGACAACTCCCAAATAGGATGAATAGCGCATCCTGGATTCCACTGCTAGTCACCATCTACCAATTAACTTCTATTTACTCCCATATGATTTGCACTGAAACATCAATATTCAACATTCAATCCCAACTGTGGAAAGTATAGTAAAAGTTATAGAGACTTTCCGCTCTTCTACTTACATGTCTGTCTAAATGTATAAAAGTGATTTCTTCAATTCATATAGTACTTATGTACACATATATATGTCTATATATCAAGTGAAAAGCTTTTGTGAAGTTTCTGACATACTTTTCACACTGATTATCTTCCTGTTGTGAAATATAACTCCCTGGATTTGTAATTCTTTATGGATTACATGGGATTATTTCATTTGTCGACAAAGTGAAATTTCAGTAGGTAGTCTATTATATTATTTTTTGGTCTACTATTCACACTGGTGTAACGTGAGACAGCAATTTCATCTTCTAATCTTTGTAAAAAGATGATTTTTTTCTTCCTTTATAAAACACCACAAGAAAAAAATTCCCACCCAATAAATCATTTTTTCCAGCTACTTTTGTGTCAGTATTGTAGTCTAATGCATATTGAACATGACGAAATAGTGAAGTGTATGTGATTTACTGTGAAAATAAGCAATAAACCAAGCGAGAATATAAATGTGAGAAGTGTATTCTAAATAAGACAACCCATATAAAATTATTTAAAATATTTCCTACAGCAAGAGAAGAATATGTGTTCCGCATTTTCGTGGTGCAGAGGCTGCTTAAATACTATATGTTTCTAATTTGTTCGACTATGAGCTTAGACTAACTAGAAAAGAAAAGTTTTATACCCCAAGTAGAATTATTCTGTTATTCATAGTTAAAAATGTCTGTTAAGAATTTCCAGGGAATTTCTGCCATTGTCTAGACATATCTTTTTCTTCAATGAATATGCTATATGTCCTTAACACAATAGCATAAACAGAAGTATTTTTATCATTACTTCAGGTTTCGAGTGGTACATGAGGCTTCAGCAGCACATATACTTCATCCGGTTCTCTGCAGACTTCTTTAGCTAACACCATGACTTTCCATAAATACTATTCCCCTTCTCTTCACACGATCCCCGTTGTGTTACACTCGGACCCATGTCCTACTGATCGTTTCCTATTCGGATTCCATTCAGTGGTCTCCTTAATGTGTTTCTCCAGTCCATTTCCATTTCTTTGACATGTTTGTTGAGTAATAAGTTGCTGACTGGTCCGTTGCCAAGGCTCCTTGTTGTCAATCTTTACTGGCTGGGTATCTAATATTAAGTCTAGAGCTAAGGCATCTGTAAATGAAAGTCTGCAATAGCCTGTAAGAAGTGATTTTGCTGATAGGTGCGCCGAACCATATAGTAGAAGAACTGACCTGACATTGATAATGAAGATCCTGATGGAAGTATGTAAGAATCTAATTGTTGAACCCGAATAGGAAAAGACGAGTTTGGCATTCGATGGTGACTTGAAAATAGTCTTGTTTTGAGAAAACGAAAGCTTAAGAAGAACTGGATGAAATGGAGGTAAACTGCTGAAGTCACATGTTCTACTGGGAACCTAATGGAACATACATATGTATGTTAACATCTAGTGGTACTTCAGTCTCTATAATTCTGGCAGAGATGTGAAATTCTAGCTAGAGACAGTTCTCCGCATTTAGCTGTCTAGTAATTTCTAAGGTCCACATGATTCCGTAAGTAATCTGTAGGCTCAGATACTCGCGACTAAACCATAAAATAATACATAGCACTTTAGCAGGGATCAGTCTGCATATCTAATATAACTTGTTGTAAACGTATCACACAGAATGTAAAAGAGGTGTAATAAAATGATTCTGGGGTGATTTGTAGGTGGAGTAATTACATTCAATCAGTTTCTGACATCCTCATATATATATATATATTTCATGAAAGTCAAATGTTAAATTATCTTCATCTTACCTTCAGGAGTCTGTGCATCTCCTCCTTGGCTGCCATTTTCTTTCCGTTTAAACTGGTCTTTTTCATTCTGTAAAATTAAAATTAATTATTTAATTATATAGAACTTTCAATATATTCATTGACTTACAAATAAAATTAAGGTGAACCATGTCCCATAAAACATGTAGCACATAATTTCGTTTCTTAAATATCGTCTAAGTTAATCGAAAAACGGTTAGCATCATAGCAAACAGTCAACTAATCTCAGTAATCCGTAGATATCATTCTTTACCGAGTAAAACATAGAGTATTTCGCTGAGCTTTCGTTGCCCTACTGGGCAACATCTTCAGCGCATATTTCAATTTGAAGTGAGCTTTTAGATTTCTCCACGAGTTTTTTAGTCATCCCTCCTGGTGACCTTGAATGTGATTGGTTGTTTTTGTGTGTTTTCACACCCTCTAGGCTACTTGTATTGGAAGTGATTGTTTCCTTGACTTGAACTTTGACCCTTTGTGTGTGACTAATAAACTCTTGCAGAAATCTAAAAGCTCACTTCAAAGTGAAGTATGCTCTGAAGATGTTGTCCATTAGGGCAATGAAAGCTTCGCAAATTAACTATCCAGCTCAGATAACACAACCGCATCAAAATCATCCACCTGAGCTACAAATCTTCTCCATCATATCTAAAATATAGAGTAATAGAATGGTTAATTTTGACTTTATTTTTAAATCACCGGAAATACCTATTGAGTCATGAAGGAAATAAAAGGTAAACTCAGAAAAGAAAATGTTCTTTATCGATGAAATAATCTCCAGAGGCTGTACGGTCGTATTTATATTTGCCAAAAATGTATAGTAGTCTATTATTCAGTAATAGGGGGGAGAGGCGATATAATTGATATATATATACTCAGAAGTGGCTTTAGAAGTTAAAATAAAAGTTGTGAATTACGTGGTAATCAACGGTACAAAGGAAGAATGGGTTAGGAATTTGATAAGGTGAAAAGTGTTACTGAGTGAGAAAAAGGTATTTGAGCGTTAATTTAACAGGTGTGAAGAGGGTGAGAAAAGGTACAAAAGGAACATATGAGAGCGACAGTGGTGGATTAACTATTAAAATAAAAGCAAACTGATCATTAAAAATAAAAATAAAAAATACAGTGAACAATTAATGAAGAGATGAAGACCATGGTAGAATAAGAGACTAGACAAACATTTTCTGTATACAGAGTTCGGGATTGTATTGACGAATTGCCAACGCCTCCGCCATACACAAATGCTGAAACCTGACGCCCTTTGTACCACTTGGCCTCACCTTGTAGATAATTTTGAAAGACGACTCTCATGGAGCTACTTGGCTTGAGTTCACTAAGTGCTCAATAGCTGACCTAATCACTGTCTCTCATTGTCATTTTGCTGACCATGCCGGATAATGTTCAGAGATGCGTTTGGAAGGTATGCACTTTGTGAGGCCAATATAACTAGCTCTGGAAAACAAAAGTGAATCTGTAAATACATAATGAAGTGGCTCAAAGGGGCAGTTTATCCGTCACGCATCCATTGATCATTCGTTGGCTGTGAAAATTCATCCGTAACTCAGCCAAAAAGAAGGTTTTTCTCAGTGATCTGCATAAGCGATTGTCCACGGTCTCAGCTGCGGTATCACCTTGAAATTCAACTTTCATAAAAAGCAGTTTCCTCTGCATCGTCTGTAGTCTTTGGGGCTTTTTCTTTACCTTCATGTTTTTCTCGATGAATCTAGGGGGGATATCCACTTTCCAAGGGGACTTGTCTGAGTCTCTTCGGTTCCACGTCGATTGTATCACTGGATCAGATTTCTCTTTCTTCTCAAAGGGACACAACTATAAAACCCATGCATTGACCATCCCATGTTGGTTTCCTGTAGACTCATTTCCAAACAGAACCGTTCCAACTCCTTTTTATCAAAAAGTCCGAAAGATGGAGTATTGAGTTCAACTCTGATTCCGATGTGAACTGGATAGTATGACGGCAGTTGTTGAACTCCTTAGTTATCATTTCGATGTTGGTATCCTCGTCATATATGATAAGGGTATCATCCATATATCTTTGGTGCATATGGAAACCATCGATAATGGGTCGTAACAACTATTCTCTAAACTTTCTAAGAAGCAGTTGGCAAGTTAGGACCCAGTGGCGATCCCATTGCCTCTCCATCTCTTTGTCTATAGAACATGTTGAAATTGAACTGCATATTAGGAGAGCACTTTTTTTAAAGAAACCTTTTGAATTGTTGAGACACAATCGCAAAACGTTACTGGTTCTTATTAAACTGGCCAGTGGACAAAATAATGTCCATCGTAGACATTGCACTGACTCTTGTGTTTAAATCATTTATTATGTTAAAATTATTACTTCATTTCTGCTTACAAGTTGTTTTAGTTACTGACTAGGAAAATGAAGAGAAGTAGACACCATGTGTAAACGCTGACAGAATTATCAAATGACTATTAACCCCACTAGTTAAAGGAATCAGTCTCATTATCATGTAGTTGTTGAATGAGGCTAACAAGTGTCAGAGAAGCCATTGAAGAAAAAACGAGAGTAAGACAAGACTGTCTTCTATCACCGATAACGTTCCTCATTGTGGTGGATGAGATAATGCAATGAACTAAAGACAGCCACATGATGTGTTAATGCTGAATAAAGAAAAAAACTATAGAAGATCTAGACTTCGCGGATAACTTCTGTCTAGTGTCAAAAAACTCAAAGATCTACAAGCCAAAATCACCAAGGTTACAAAAGAGTCATAACTTGAAGACAAAACTGAGATGATGAAGGTACTTCTAATGATTTTGAAATTTCCAGCTAATTAATCAAGTGCTTACAAACTGGTCTTAAGTATTCTGAATCTATTTCACATTAAATGAACGAGGATCTACTCGCATAAACAAGAATTAAGATTCATATAAAAGTGATCATTACTTTGAAATTAGTATAGAAATCTGCTACACTCACTATGAGGAACAAGACCCCGCATTTAAACACTAACGTCAAGTTAGTCCTTGTATACGGTTCGCGGACCTTAAGCATGACGAAAAGCATTTCCAAGAGCCTACTGTAGACTTTCATCAGCAGCTTTCTTCACCCAATATTGAAGGTCAGATGACCAGTCAGAAGAAATAAGCAACAAGAAATCTTGACAACTAACTAACCAAGAACGTGCTGTTGAATAAGGAAATGGAGACGCATTGGATATACGCTGAGAAAACCTTTGACTCACACGATGCGCCAGGTCCTCGAATGGAACCCAAGTGGGAAGTAACCAGCTGGGTGTTGGTCCTAGTGTGACGTAGAAGAGAACATGTAAACAGAAAATGAAAGCTGTATACTCGTTCCTTTATAATGGATGGAGATGGATCGGGTACAAATTGAGGAGACTGTCGAATGACATCGCGCGCAATGCAGGCCACTGATCGAGTGGAATCCCACTGGGAAGCGGCGAGTGGTTAACATGAAGAAGATCGTGTAAGCAGGAGATGAGAGATTATGGGAAATCGTGACCCCTGTTGAAGAGGATGGCAGAAGATTGGAAAAAGTGGAGATGTGTTGTTGAAGGTCTAAGTTCCAATGGGAACTCAAAGGAATAATTATAATTTACTTGTTCCTTTATAAAAAGTTATTCTAGCGAATATAACTGACTCTACTCGTTAGTAGGAAGCGAAACAATGAAGATTTTTCATAGTACAGTGCTTGTAACAAGTATGATAATGAAAAGAGATCGGGCGTTCTTTTTTGGTGATAACTATTATTATTATATCTGTAGGAATTAAAAGGTTTTTACTTTCCAGATCACCTGTAACATGTTTTTGTACTATCGATTTTCTGTGAGCTATAGGGGTTATACATTTAGTTTTGACTACAAACACTTTCTTTAAATAAAGGCATTGCATACAAAATTTTCCGTTATTTCATCTATTATCTAGCGTGGACAGCCCATATCATTGTGAAGTCGAACTTTTCTTTATGACCTAATAGCCCGCTTCTAAAGGTACATTTAAACGGACGAAACGTTTAATTCCCCCAGATGCACAGGGAATGGACAATATTACATTTTCAAAAGGTTATAAATACCCCAAGGAAATGCGAAATGTTTCATTATCATATATATATATATATAAGTGTATATCTTTTTTGATGACTTTGGAAACAATCAGATATTCAGAAAGGTCACGGTTGTAAGGCAACAACATACGCACATTATCAGGCAGTTTGTTTAGAGCATCTCAGAAGCCTTCCAAACTTATCAACAATATATATGATTGGCAAGTAGTTTGCAATGCAATGGTTGTATAGCTTTATATGTTCCAACAATCTTTCAATTGAAATAAGTTAAAAGAGAGTATTTATATATTCTAATATGCCGAAACATTTGTACACCTTTACATATGACCATACCGACAATATTTCAATAACAAACAGTGCTATTAGTCAGCTAGAAACTATTGATCATTAAATCGGCAAAAAAGAACTAATAACTTCAAATAACAATAATATCAATAACTACCAACGAATATATTTCAGAATAGGGACAGACAGATAGTTAGAAAGACAAAGGAGATCAATAATTAAAAGCACATTAGACTTGCGAAATTCATTAAACAGAGTTTGAATGAAGATTTGACAGGGATATAAGAGAGGTGAATATTATAAAATAACAGGGAAAGTTTTTATCCAAATAAAGAAGGTAAGAAGAGTCCAATTACGTTTCATCCTACGATAACAATTAGAGGGAATTCATAGACTTCTCCCAAGTTCATTGAAAATAACTGTTATTTCAAATAACGATATCCTCAGAGTTATGCGAAATACAAGTATGGATTTTAATCAAGGGATGTAATTAGATTAAATGAATTTCATTGAATGCGATAGTACACTCAACCAAGTGATTAAAATCAGTTAATTGAGGGGAAGTGCATGTTTATTTTAAACAGATGTGCTTTTTTATCTGCTCGTCTAAAGTACATAACATCAAAAGCAGAACGATTTGATGGTTAATTACTAAAATACTAATTTCAGACATTAGTTATCACAATAAATGAAACTCTCCAAATTTAGAAGTTAATATCTATAGTTCTGTTCCCTTTTATTCCTCTCTCCTAATGGCTAAGGTTTCCAGATTCCCTGAAGAGGAATCACAAGACCTAGTTCATATAAATCATACTCTTTTGGTCAAAAAAACTTTGCAATATGTCTCTAAATGATCAGATCATAACAAAACAACATTCCAAAAGTCTAACGTCACGAGATGGAAGAAGTAACGATAACACAAAATTAGTCCATTAAGTCGACTAAGTATACGTTCAATAAAAGTAGTTGAGTATATTTACTAGTTTTTTTTCCTTCACGTTCCCCAGTGGAACATAAGGCTTCAAGCTAGTGGCTTGAAGTTTCGGTAGCAGTCTTTATTTTTACAGGATGGGGTTGCATGCCTCATGCCCAACCTTTTCTCTTCCCCAGAATTATTTCTAGTTTAGCGAGGTAAAGGAATGCGTCGACCAGGGATCAAACCCTGGACCATATGCATGGTCGGCGAGCGTCCTAACCGCTATGCCACCGACGCACATATTTACTAGTAATCTATTGTAATTAGCTAACTGCGCATCAAACGAAGAGAAGGAAATAGAACTACGAACATTTTATTTACAAGTTTTCGAGTAATATTTGAAATATGTATTAGTGGGGGTGTTTTTTGAAGCGTCATCAAGTAAAACATCATGTGGCATCATGTGTGCAGACGAAGGGTCACAAACTGGAAAAAAAGACCTTTTGATTACTCCTTGGATTCCAGCATTTTTCTAAATGGTGTCAATCCCCAATCTACTCTGAAACTAATAAAATCCCTACAAATCAACGCTTAAATGATAGTGTTTCACTCAATGTTTCTAATGAAAGAACGGTCAAGACTAAGTATTTTTTTAATGAAATAAAACATTCCACTAAAAATGATGTATAAGCAAAACTCACTTTATCCTTTCTTAATGACTGAAATGCTCGTTTCCATAATCCTTTTATATTTTGTGGCCCCGAGGATGCAGTAGATTTCAGATCACCAGAACTTTCTTTCTTCATGCCAATTATTTTTAGCTGAAAAGAAATGAAAAAAAAACATTAAAATCTTTCTGCATCGGGTAACATTTTAAAACTGTACTTTTGCACATATCAAACCTACTTATTCTACATTATGAGAAAAAGACAGCGCGAAAAGAAGTAACGGAAATCAACACTCAATACTTTTGGGCTATTTTTTTCAACAGCTTCAACAAAATATCATTTTATGCATAAAATATATGTGTGGTTTAAAATGAATGAAATTCAATTCAGTGAACATTTTGTTCACAAATGTGTGAATCTCTGTAGACTTTTACGTGTTAAAGAAAAAAATTGAATACGGTTGATTTGTTATCGAAATGAAGTGTTGTCGTTTCAAACAATGGAATTTTAGCACCTACACATCTACTTATGCGTGAAGAGTTTCAGACAGTTGTTGCTTCTTTTGTAATGTTGAAACTGGCCACATGCATTAAACTATAAGCAGAATACTGTATGCGTATGCATATATACATATATATATTCCTAAGACAATTCAACAGATTTTTAGACTCAGGAAGTTATATAAAAACGCTGAATAAAATACTCGAAACAGTGATTATTGACAGTAAAGCAAAAAAATGTTTAAGTTGTAATCTTTAAAAGAAAAGCATAAGATTATGACTCCTCACAAAGTAGGAAACATACAGAAAATAATTCAATGTCGTTAATAGGAGTGATAAATTTCTACAAGTAGTTGTTTATAATTGGAAATATCAAACAGAATGACCAATCGAAATGAATGAACTATTCATGCCTACTGCCTGGGAGTCCCAGACTGGGGCGAAACAGCTATACAGCACTCCCGACTGGTTTTCAATAGTTCTCTTACTGATATTAATCCCTGATCAAACTTGAAAAGAATCAAACCACCATAAAATAACGCTTGAGAATAAAGTATACACTAAGAAACAGTTACGAATTTCTCTCCTTTAGACTCATTATATCTCTGTTATGAATTGTATTGAAGCCACTGGTATTAAAATTATTACAGATTTTACTTTACAGTTCAATTTGTCTTGCACAAAACAGAAAAGAGCAGAAATTGACGATTAGTCAGTATAATCATTTGCATTAAATCAATCATGTATTTTATCAGGCAATAATTGAATACCCACCCAACATTCATTCTGAATATGTAGCAATTAAGGATACAGTAAATGACAGAAAAAAGCAGTCCAGCTTTTCCTGAAGAGTTTTAAAGATGCTGCAAATACGTCGAATATTTACTGAATCATATTTGACTACATGCAGTCTAGACAATGGTAAAGCTCGTAATAAACCGGCAATTCATTTATGTCTAACTTGCTATCGATGCTCAGAAATCTACTATGATACAAAACCATTCTAAGTGACACCACTTTATATGCATATAATATAGTGATGACGGTTGTATCTCACGTAGTGTTTATCTGTCAATGCTTCTGCAGTTATAAGAGGACAATTCGAGGGAGTAGATATCATATTTCACACTTCAACCAATCAAGCCTTATTGACTATAAAAATTTTGTTTTTGTTGGACAATATTCATCATATTTTTACAAGATGAAATCTCTTGATCATCTTCAATTTTTAATTGGCATTTTATGAGATCACTTTATCTGACAATGTACATAAAATCCCTCAAAAGTGAATATTTACATACTTCTAAGATTAGTGCGAATATCGTCAAAACATCGATGTATAGTTTACCATCGATTATCTTCCAATAATTAATAATAAAGTAATGAGAAGAAACGTATACTTTTACACAGTGGGAAATATACGTCGCAAGTTATTCTATGTCTTGTACACAATTATCTAGCCTCCCCAGTGTTCTGAAGCAATAAACATTTGAAAATGTTAAACTTTTGATTTTTACTTAAAAATCAAATGTATTATTAAAAGACATCAAAGCAGACAGATGTATCCTTTTGAGGTTGGATGATTTTTTCCTAATGAATACTTAATAGACTAGAATTTGTTCTAAACTAGTATCGTAAACATATGAAACAAGAGAAATCAATCCATATATTTTTTTCTGATATAATGAAGTCTACATCTATATGAGGCACGTGGCTTAAGTTTAAGTAGACCGCTTGAAAGTACAGATGTTCTAGTGAAGTTTTCAAACAAAAAAAGGTAAAGCAAAAAATTATTTTATTTCATTCTTTAAACTTTATTTATTTGCAAATATCCACCGTCTTCTAAATTCAATAAGTTAATTATCTAATAAAAGGAGAAATATGATACCTGACGGAATTTCTTGTTTTATAAAAATAAGTCCGAAAGAATAAAAATGTGTTTTTGGAAAACAAATTATGAGACCACTTTTACTTTCGGGTGTAATAATAAAATCTGTAAAATGCATTATGTTGCATTTATGTTGCTCTTCTATCTTGTTTGTTACAAAGCGTAAGTGTAACTAAAATTTCCGCTTTTACAGTGACTTCAAATTATATACATGTTTATGTATATATCTTTGGATTGATGTGAAGCAACTGTAAAGCACATGGTACCTACCTTTCAGAGTAGGTAAGATTCATTTGACGCTACAAACGAACTTTTTTGGATATCTATCAATCCACCTGGTAGTGTGAAGCTAGTTATGTCGGCCGTACCCAACATCTGCCATCCAAATGTATCATCGAACACTTACCCTCATGGTATTATAAAAGAGAAAAAAATCCCCTGCAACTCTATCCTGGAACACGTGATCGAATATGGACAACAAACCGACCCACAAACTAACTTCAAATTCACCTACAGAATACACGGGAATCTTGCTAAAAGAGTACGAATCAAACTTCTTCGAACTGCAGAAGCAGTGACAATTCACATGTTAAATGACAAACTCTGAATACAAAAGAAGTTTTTTCAGTCACAGAATCTACAATGAACCTGATCTATCCTAACACCAAATATGTAATTTTTGTTTTGTTTCTTAATTATACTATTTTCATCCCTCACCTCCTGTTGAATTTTCACCCTCTTATTGCCACTGCTATTAATCTGACTCTCGTTTAATTTCAGCTGAGTTCTACTCAATCCCGTCAGTTGTAATACGTCACTCAATTCACCTTTTTAGTTATAATTTTACTTTAGTTTCTACTTTTCGTATTACGTAATTTGTTATCTAAAATTTACAATCCTAATGACACATATGGAAATATTTCTTTTGTTACAAAAAAAATCTACTGTGTGTTTGCGATTGTACAGCTTGAGAATGATATCGCTGAAAAGAGTAAATCTTCGCTGAAAGTCTTTTCTTTTATACGCCTCAATGGGGATTTTTAGGTCTTCTGGATATCTAGTAAATACTTTTTTGTTATTGTTATTAAAAGTAACAGTTCCTAACTATACGGAAATACTTTTTGTGATCACACCTGGTACCGACAGTTTTGCTAATCAAAAGTGCTTGAATGAAAAAGAGCACTTTTCTTTCGTTAAGTGTCGTTGGCAGAACGGCAGAATGCTCATAAACCATGCATATGGTCAGGGGTTCGACCCCCGTCTGGCACACTCCTTTACCTCACCAGGCCAGTAATAAGACTGATAAAGAGGGAAGGTTGGACATGAGGCTAGCAACCCTATCCCGTGAAATTAGACACCACTGCTACCAAAACTTCAAAACTCTCGTTTGAAGCCCTATGATCCACTGGGAACGTAAAGGAATAAAATAATAATATCTTCTTTCGTTATATATCCGTGAAAAAATGGAGTTATTTATTACACAGCCTTCCTCCAAAATCTAAACGTAACCAAACATTTATTGATAATAACTTAAAAGTCTGATTTCACGCTCATCAGTTACTTTTCAGTCCTTTTCTTTTGTAATAAATAAAGATGTTTCAACGCAGCTGCAATTTAAACTTGATTATCGCATCTTAGCTGACAGACAAATCTTGACGAATTAAGGAAAATAAACTTTTACAGATACTAAATCATCCTTATATAAACTTATAAAATGTTGTTTTACAATAAGTTAGACATCAAGATAAATTTCTTCAATTTTTTTCGTATTTTTATTATTATCATTACTGTCACTAATGATGTTATTACGGTCGAGTGAATGATTTTAAAATAAACACTTTTCTATAAATTTGGCTAGCTTCATTAGAAGACAGAGTTTACCTGAAACATGTGATATATTAGTGCAATGCATTTCAAAAACAGTCTCATCACACACTTACTAGTCAATTTAATTCATATGAAGAATAAATAACTGCTTTAAATAAACAAAATCATAAGAGATTATGAAGATTATCTGTAAAATCAAGCTAGCGATGCATACCGAAATACACTGAGGCGCTTTCTTGTGAGTTAGAAAAATTTATTACTATCCTTAATCTATCTTGGTAATCTTTATCTGATTCTGTCATTAAAAGTTGAGTTAGTTATTATCTTTGTTACTTCTCAAATCTGATTTAATTTTGTTTATTTTAACTGGCCTTTCACTCATTGTATAAATTGATTTGACAAGTAAATGTGTCGTCAAATTGTTTGAAATTTATTTCGCAAATATATCACATTTTTCAGATAAACTCTTTTTTTAATAAGGCTATTCATATTTATTAAAGAGGCTAATTATTTTGAAGTTTTCTGTGAATCATCCCACGTACCTGATTATTCGTTCTATAATATTAACAAAATGGGATGCATAACTAGTTTTATGTTTTGTCGAAACAAGTTCGGTAAATTTTAAATGTATTAACAGTTAACTCATTGCATAAACCTCTTATGAACTTAAGAAGATGTGGGTATTCGGTTTCAAGAAGTGTTACTCAAGCAGTCAGTTTATTAGTGTGATCATATCCGTCAAACAGGTTCAATAAAATCGAAGCTTTATAGTTTTTTAAAAATATACAGAGTTGGTCTCCTAGTCCGTCCATTTCTAGATATGTCCAGTTCTCCTTTTATCATTTAAGTACTATATAATGCAAATACCTACATTTTCCCAAAGAAGCAATCAGCTATAAAGCACGACTACTGACGTCAGAAGAAAGCGTAATCCTGCG